CATATAAAGGATTTGCGTCTATCTTGAATATATATATATATATATATACAAACATTGTAAATGAGTCTGTATGTATAGAAGTGTGTGTGTACACATGTGTATGTATCTGAAAATGTGTAGATTAGTGCGTTTATATATATGTATGTATGTATATATATATATATATATATATATATATATTTTTAAGTATATGTGTAAATATATTGATGCATATAAAAATTTGGTAGATGAGTGTGTGTGTGTGTAAATAAGAATGTGTGTATTTTTTTATTCCTCTTTTTTTTTTAATACAATTGGGATTACTCTTTTTCAACAATGTCTAAATTACTCTAGATCTTTTAAATCTTAAAGTTTGACCTCTACAATAGCTTTTTGACAAAAAAATCTTTCTTTAGTTTTGATTACTTAGGACTAGTGATCATTTTGTAAAGAAGTAACATGGTCCATATTTAAATCTTTCTTATTTTCAGATAATTTTAGAAACCAAGCATAATATATTTAAGTACCTAAGTTATGATATAAAGACAAAAGACTAAGATATTAGTACTTTTTTTCTCTATTTATTAACTGATATTTTTTTAAACCATATAAACCATATTGATTTGATTCCTCCTATATTATTTAGGCTAGGTTCTAAACAAGTTGACATACCTTTAGAAATGTTCTTTTTCTAATTTGGCCAAATACATCATTAAATCTTTTTTAGTATTATTTTTATATAGAAGTAGGTCAAATGTCAATTTTGCAAAAAAAAAAAAAAAAAAAAAAAAAAAACAACAACATAAACATAAACATAAACATAAACATAAAAACAAAAAAGCATAAAAATATTTTTACAAATATGATATTTTTTTTTAGTTTTGACTAAGTTAATTATTTGTAAAATCTTTATAATACCTATTGTATTTATTATTCTTTAGTAATAAGTTAGTGTTTGTACATGTTGTAATCTATTTAGTACTTTTTAGTTCCAGTGCAAAATCCAAGCATATGTATCTATTCAAAATATTTCTATATTTTACATATTTAAAATTTGAAATAGTATTTTTTTTTAAATAACTACTAATAAGTAAATTAATTATAGCATTCTTATTAGCAAAGAGGCTTTTGACAAGTCATATAGCTTAATCTTCTATTTATTTTGAAGAAATAGTATTTTAGCATATAAATTATTAATCCAATTTTTTAAGTAATAAGATGTAAAATATGAATATATATATATATATATATATATATATATATAATCTTAATCATATTCTAAATAACCGTATCTATCAATAATTATTTTAGGTAGTATAGATTAATTTTTGTATAAATAAAAAATATTCTTACTTCTTTTGATCATTTTTAAAAAATAGAATGGCTATCATATTGGCTAAAATATGATAGAAGATGATAAAAACAACATTTTATTCTATCAAATTAATCATTTTTATTGATTATAAAAAGAGCCATGGAACTTAATTTATAAAACATAAACTATCTTATACCAACATGATGTCATAGATATACAAATTTATTCCAATAATTATCTATATGATTAAATAGAAATAAGTAAATATATATTAATTTCATGATATCTTATAGAATAGCTTCCTAGAAGCTTCATAGATGTAGTTTTGATTTTATATATATTTATAATTGATTAGTAGGTTAAAAGCTTAGTCAACAAGTTAATCACATGCCATATGTGTTGATAGCTTGTAAGATAAGCTAATTATGTGGCACACATATAGAAAACTTGTCTTGCATTTTAAGATTCATATTTTGCAAATTCAATACGTATTGGAGGTTCTATAGAATATTGTCATATAACTTTTAGCTATATAATATATATATAAGCAAGAATGAAACCTTTTTCACTCTTGACAATGCCTTTCTAGTCTTTAATCTTATCTCAAGACTTTCTAGTCTTCTTGTCTTTGGCAATAGCCATTCTAGTTTAATATATTACCATCTTGAGATGATTTTTTAGTCTTTTCAAGTGTAATAAGAGTATATTGAGATTTTTTTAAGGTTTATGTCCTCGATAATTTGACAAGAATACTAACTTATTTTTCTTCTCTTGTTTTAGAAGTAAGTGAATTATTCCTCTTTTTATTATTGTATTTTAAAGATTGAAAACCACTCGTTTTTAAATAAATAGTTTATTTTTTAAAATTGATTTTTTTCTTAAAAAAAGTGAATTACCTCTCTTATAGAAATTTTTATTTGATATTAAAAGTTAGAAATTATCTTCCTCTAATTTAATTTTATGATTTTGTTTGAATTGTCTATGGGAGAAAAGATTATGGATGCTACTTTCAAAGGAAGTGAGAATAGATTTGCAACTATTATACATCTTCATAAGCTTATTAACACTCTAAGGGTAGAAATTTCACATGTTTTTAACATAAAGCATAGAAGTACTATTTCAATATGTATGGAAGAAGTCTAGAGTCTATTCCAAGAAGTTATATAGTTAAAGAAAGTAAGTAGATCAATCTCACAACCAAATTCAAGAAATCTCTCTTTTACAAGCATAAGAGACAAGGATTAGTATGCCTCAAAAGTTTGATGGAATAAGATCAAAAATTTAACGATTTTTACAAGTTAAGTTTTATTTAAGGTTGCATCTTTTCTAATATTTTGATGGATTTACTCAAGTTAGATTTACATATGCACTTCTATTGCAAAGTGCTCTATCTTAGTTTGTTCCTTTGATAAAAAAAGATTCATGACTATTTTATAATTTGAATTTATTATTTAAATTATTTATAACTATATTTAGAAAAATTAATTAAAAAATATAGAAAATATTAAACTTATATTGCTATAACAAGAATCACATTGAGCCATGACATATATTATTGAATTCCAAAACCTTACTTACAACATGGATTAGAATGACAAAGCCTTTATCAATCAGTTTTAATATAGATTAAAAGATAATATCAAGATTTATTGTTGACAATGCCAAGAGCAGATTTATTAGAGCAATTTATTACTTAAGTCATTAAATGCAACAATTGACTCTTAAAAAGTTGCCAAGAATAAAGATTTGATTGAAGAAGTACAAGTCAAGCCATAGCAACACCTTCTAAATTTTTGGAAGCTTACTTGTTCAGGCTAGAGTCTATGAAAATTAACACAATACATTTTAAACATCTTATTAAACAAGAAAAGACTTATCGTTATAAAGAAGGTTTATGTATTTCTTTAGATATAGCAATTAAAGATCATAATAGTATAATAATATTTAATGTGATAAGATCTCTCTCCAATGTAGTTATTTTAGAATTATTTTAGTAAAAAATATATATTTCTTACATAGATTGGATTTTTTATAATCTTAATTTTTTTTTGTAGTTTGATGCAAAATTTGATTAGTCAAGTAAAAATATATAAGTCTAATACATCCAAATCCTTATTGATATCTGTAAAAGCTTTTATGCATGTAACAAAAGAAGGATCATCTTTTGTTATATATGCCATGAATATTTTTAATAGTAGGAAGATGTCAAGTGATATTTCTAACTAGTATCTAGATTTTTAGGAAATTTTTTAAAAGAAAAATATAAATATTTTTTTAAAAAATTGGCTCTATGATTGTTCAATTGTTTTGTAAGAAGGAACTCAATTACCATTCAAACCAATCTATAGCTTATTGCAAAATTAGTTGGCTATACTAAAAGAGCATATTAATAAGAACTTGGCTAAAAACTTTATACACCATTTAAAATCTCCAATAAGAGCTCCTATCTTATTTATGAAGAATAAGAATAAATCTCTATAGATGTGCATAGACTATCAAAGATTTAACAAGAAGACCATTAAGAATAGATATTCCCTATCTCTGATTTTAGGACTTCTTAACCAAATCAATTAAGTAAAGATGTGCAAAAAAATAGATCTATAAGTAATACACAACTTAATCCATATCAAAGAAGTAGATAAATAAAAGGTTGCTTTTCAAAATAGGTATGGATATTTTGAATATAATATCATATTTTTTGGTCTCAAGAATGCACCAATTACTTTTCAACATCTCCTGAATGATTTTTTTTGTGAGTTTTTGATGATTTTATTGTCTATTATTTAGATGATATTCTTATCTATTTTGAGAATAAAAAAAATATGAATTTCATATTCATTATATATTATAAAATTTAAAGTTTTAGGATTATATGCCAAGATAGAAAAGTGTATATTCCATATTACTTAAGTTGACTTCTTAAGATCTATTATTTCTAACAAAGGACTAATAATGGATCCAAAGAAGGTCCAAACTATCATGAATTAAAAGATTCTAAAAGTAATCAAAGATGTATAATATATTTTAAAATTTATCAATCATTATAAGATCTTTATTAAGAAATTTTTTGAAGTTGTGGCTCTTCTTATATGTCTGACATGTAAAGGCAAACTTAAGTAGAACAAAGAAATTAAAGTATCTTTTGAAGCCTCAATGATAGTATTAATTTTTATACCAATTTTATATTATGTCAATTTTTTCAAGGAATTTTTCATGAAAATAGCCACATTAAATTTTGCTATAAGTATTATTTTGTCACAAATGGAAGAAGATAATAAGCTCCATGCAATAATTTTTTATTCCAAGTAATTTTTAATATTTATAATTAATTAAGAGATTTATGACAAAGAGCTTCTTGCAATCATAGGTTCATTTCAAGAATGGCATTG